GATGTGCTTATGTTGTGATAGCCCAGTGTAGGTTTTTGAAACCTTATATTGGGAACTTGAGGTGCTATGTGTTTAGTTGTGTATTTCAGATCTCCTAACCTAAGAATTAGGTAGTAACAATATATGTGATAGTGTCTGCCAGGAGGAGAACGAGCGGATGCGTAGTATCAACTCAAGGTTAGATTTCGAGGACGAAATCTTTTTAAGGAGGGGAGAATTGTAACATCCCGTTCCGGCAAAACCCATATTTCGATCGCTAGAAAGTTCGCGATTTAAAATCGAGTGTTTTAACAATATTTCGGCGAAAAACGGATTATCAATCGATCGGATAAATATACGTATTAATTATATATATATACTATATATATATATACTATATATATATATAAATATATTATATATATATATATATAAAAATATATTATATATATATATATATTAAGCGGTCGGGGCCGCATATATAAAATCCCCTGTCCATTTTTTCTTTCATCATCTTTCCCTGTTGCACCAAATTGGGCCGAGAGAAACCGAAAGCAGAGCGAGCAGGGGAGCTCGACAGGGAATTTCCAAAGCTCAAATTCTTGAGCCCTAAGTGATACAAAAATCCCGTAAGTAATGCCTAATCCATCCATTCATCGTGATTTATCGATTTAGAGCTTTAAAACGAGTTTTTGGTCCAGGAATTTCTTGAATTCCCGATAAGGCAAATTAGGGTTTCGGAGTATTCGGAAGCCGGATTGAGCCCAAATTTCATATACGAGCTTCCTGCAGCGAGGTAATCAATCCTCTAGTTCTAATCCCTGAATTTCGGCTACTATTTAGGTCGGAGCCGGGATCGCTGAATTTAGCTCCGGCCAGGGTTTGATGTGTTTTTATCGAGATTTTGACCCGGAGCCTAGAACTAATATTGACGGGGATACTGCAGGGGATATTAAGACGGTCTCGGATTTTAATTCGGGGTTCGTTCCTGAAATTGACGTTTTAGTACGGGAAGCTTAAATCGGTGTTTGAACGACCAGAACTGGTGAGGGATTAGCACGGCATACCGGGTTTGTCGTATCATGATAATTATATTGATGCTTAGAATTGACCTAGGTGAATTAGAATGGCATGATTAGGGGTGTATGGACTTTTGTGCTATATGATGAACCCTGGACTGCAATATGATATTATTGATTTGCCCTAATCGATATGGACCTGGCTTATGCTGATGATTGTGTATATGTTGCAAATTGTGGGCTTGACTGTTGATATGCTTTATGATGGTTCGAGAAAGTGATTGGGTATGACATTTCATGATTGATGTATTTGGATGTACAAGTGGGAAAATATATATCTCCTGGTGATATTATGATGTTTAAGGAGGATGACTTGCACGAGGGTTTATCCCGAGGAAGTGCAATAATACGACTCCTGATTTACCTATGTTGAGCCAATTATGGCCAGGTCAAGTACATGTGCAAGTAACGAATTATGATTAAGCAAGATGAGATATGAATCATGTATAAGGATACCAAATATGAGTGTTGTGGTCTCACGGTCAATTACATAGTAATTAGGGCTCCCTATGCTATTACTCTATTATGATATGTATGATAGTCACACCTCTCATGTGGTGGTGACTGAAGATTTCTTACGAGATATGACCACACCCAGAGCGGTGTCGGGGTATGACTACACCCATAGTGGTGTGGGGTATGTATGACCACATCCGACGGGATGTTGGGGTATGTATGACTACATCCGACGGGATGTGGGGTATGTTTCCCGGGAGAGTTAATAGCATGGGAGTAGCCAGGCGCCTATAAGTAAAACATGATAAGACGCATATGCATAAGTCAAGGTGGTTGAGTCTTTTGCCCATTGGGACATGAGGATGGCTGAGGTCCGATCCTAGTGTTTTGGCTTGTTTGCTAGATGTATGGTAGGGGTATGCTCTGTTATGAACTCACGATGCTATGATTATCTCACTCAGCTATGAGCTGACCCTCCTTTATTCTTTTCCTCTGCTTATGCTATGTGTAAGCAGATCATCATCAGCAGCAGTAGATAGGTGTATAGGTGGGAGCTGAGCAAGAGTTGAAGGCAAGATGAGGTATGGTCTTCAACTATTCTGTGCTTGGACTACTACTCGGGATTTTGGCCAGTGATCCACACCTTTTTGTAAAAATGTTTTGAGAATGTTTTTCATGTGCATACTAGCTTCTGATGTAGTGTGAGATATCCACAGGTGTGGAAAGTTGATGATATGTGTATATTTGTGTAATTATGTAAGTTGTGACGATTATGGCATGTATCAGTATAGTATGCAGTTGTGTAACATGAAACTGTGACTATGGCTATGAAAAGCCAATGCATATGGAAGTGAGTGTATATGTTTGTCTATGAATGCATGGATTTAGATGAATTATTTTGCAGGATCAGATGGAAGAACTGTTAGCCCATTACGCGAGTAATTCATGTCGAAATTTTATTTGGGAAATTTTGATAATTAATGTAACACCCGAGATTAATTCCGCTGCAATTGTATGAACAATATGATTAGGCAAAAAGTATAGGGTAGGGTGTTACAATTAGGGCATCCTTAGATTAACAATATTTATATTTTTATTTCTATTTCATAAGAAATTTTGCACTTCTTATCGTCGACATAAATTGCTTAAAAAGTATTTCTTCATAATATTTTGCATTACTAACTTGCTTTGCATAACCATCACCTGAACAGAATCCTCACATCATCCAATCCAATATCAAAACCACCGCTTATTTGGAAAAGCAACAACTATGCAACAATCCTGAAATATTCAATGATGTACTTGAATACCACCAAGTCGAGAAAGATGAGAAAGAAATGTCTCAAAAAGCATTTCCACTATCAACCCTACCAATATCGTTTCTCGACGACAATTCTTAAATATATGAGTTGTTTCAAAAACCAACATGTGAATCATAAATTACCAGGAAAATAAAACATATGAATCTTACAGTTCCCAACACCGAAACTGTTATCCCAACAATGATTGGCGGCGCTCCAAAGAGTAGTGATGTAATTGGGTTAGGCAACTCTTCTTGAAGACACCCTTGCAACTACGATGTTGGACTTGGACCCAAGCTTCAACGGAAAAACTCACCATCCATCCTTATGCACACCATGTGAAAAAAGGAGTTGCGATTCGTCGAGAGGAGGTAGGGATGACAAAAATACCCGTAACCGTGGATATCCGCCAGAATCCAATCTAATCGGATAGGGTAAAACCCAAACCTGAAAGACTTTTAGTGGGTACGGGTAAAACCCGAACCCGAAAATTGCGGGTAATGGGTGGGAATGATTTTCTCATTATCCAACCCGAACCCGCCCGATTATACGCTTGCATATGTATTGTCTAGATATAATCATTCATTTTCTCTAACATATTTTATATTTAGCATATAAATATAATATTTTCATGAATTTGTGTTGTTTTAATTAACTTTCTCCATTCTAGTGAATTATTGCCGTACTTTTCCCCTTATGTAATGTGAGAATACTTGTGAATGCTAACATATTGGTTAGAGTTATAAAGAAAAATTATTACCCATGAATAACCGTGGATACCCGAAATTCGAACGGGTTTGGGCATGATTTTGATTTTTTACCCGTTTCTTATGTGGGTGCGAGTATGGACAAAACCCGAACTACTTTGGGACTTGGGTAGGGTAAAAATCCAAGGATATTAGTCATAAAAAATAGCCAGATTTTCCCATATATATTACCAATATGTAAATTGTCTACAGATAATCATATATTGAAGAGGAACAGTTAAAATCCAAGGATATTAATCAAATGTCATCCTTTCTTTTAGCTTGGCAAAGTACCCGGTAGCAATAATCTGACTCACAACTATAAAACAAAATAATGGGAAAACTAACTGATTCGTTGAACAATCTTATGCATAGATTAACAATATACTTGCTTGGTATAAAATGAGACAAACAAATTAAAACCCTACTGCAGAAAGCAAGCTACAGTGAGCGAGCAAGGGGAAATACAACATAATCAAAAGCCTCAAACAGAGTTCATAAGCACTAAAATAATAACTTTTTGTGGTGGCTAAACAGAAGCTTAGAACTATGAATCTTGATAATCATACAGATTAGACAGATGGCAAAAAGATTAAGAACACACAATTGACATCAACATATTAAAATGGGTCTGCTGTTCATTCGTCTCAATTCCACAAATCTTCTACAAATGATGGTTCCCATCCGCTGCAAACATAAATAATGGACGAAAAAGTTAAAATTTTAAGAGAAAGAAAGCAGGAAGAGAGGAACTCATATGAGAATTAAACAGTTGAAACTTCTTGGCAATGAGTTCCCTCTGCCTCAGATCTTCACCGTGGATCTTTGAATGACTTACTCTGAATCTTCAACTTCCTAGTTCCTACCAAGACCATCCCTACTTCTGTGACCAAGCTGTTGAAAAGTCACCCTAACCAAACCAACGAATCATGTTCAGCAACTGAATATTGAACAACCTGAATAACGCTGAACAAAAAGACCAAATAAAAAGACCAAAATGGAAATACGAACCAAATAAAAAGACCAACCTGAATAACGCTAAAATCCTTCTTCTACTATCACTCACCTCAAATCCAACCTCCTCCTCTGCTGTCTTGCACTGCAGGAGATGAGAACACATAGATTTCTCATCGAAACTACACATTTCAAATATTTTGAAAAATTTAGGACTGTACAGTCTAAAACTTCTAAGGAAGTACTTGGTACTGTCCCCCCTGCTCTCTCTATCAAATTTGGGTACCTATTTCCCTGCAAAAGAAAGTAAAACCTTCTTTTGGGGCTATACCAATTGCACAGTCCTGCTCCTGCCCTTCCCTCAACTTAATAACGACAACAAAAACATCAACGCTTTCTAGTCTTTCACTTCCCTCCCCACCTTGCTTCCGTCCATAGAAACTTCTGCTAATAGCGTTCTCTCTTCTATGAGTAGTGAGTAGTTCCTTCCTTCCTTCCCCCACCACACAAAACAATACCGTCGTTTTCCATGTTGAAGAATCAGGACTTTACTGCCACAAAGTAAGAAGAAAATAAATACTCAAAACAGGAGAGGAAAAACTATAATATATATGTATGGGTCAGGATGCTAGTGAATTAGAAGTTGGAATAATTCCTGGACTCCAGCACGCATACGCAATTTACCAAGGCTGTGACTTTGCAACATGGTTTCAGTGCTACTGTTTTTCTTTCTTTTTGTTTGTTAATCCTTTGGTAAACTGTTAGGGACACATCATGTTGCAAAGAAATCAACAATTAAGTCCTGGCCAGAATACTGCTACCATTATATGCTCATGCCCCGGCCAGAATCCTGGCCGCAAACATCACAACACATATCATCTGTCTTCTTCGAGCAGTAATGGCCGCCATTTTCACCCATCATCCACCACATTGTTTCTCTCTTTCTCACCCCAAAAAACAAACATAATCATAACCCACAAACCAAATCAGAGTAAAGCAATCAAATTTCCACTCCCAACACGACAACAAATAGAATCGAGCAGCTCAATGGCTCCTCCTTCCCTCTCCTTGACTCCGTTGCTTTCACCCTCCAATGTCAATTTTTTCCATCCTCTCTCCAAACACAAGAGGCAGATTTCTAGCTTAGGCTTGCCTATCCCCCCAAATCCCCCTCTGCTTCTCCCCAGCTCACTCCACAGCGAGCCGCACGGCGAAACGGTTGAGACAGAAAAACTCAGATTGGAAAAGAGGAAGGGAAAAATTAAAAAAAAAATCCCTTTTGATCCCTAGAGAATCCAATCCACATAATGAAGAGAGAAAGGTAAGAGAGAATAAAGAACACCGAAGGAACCAAAGGTAAGGAAGAACAGAAATGATACCTAATCTAATTGCAAGAACCAGGGGAAAGCCTCAATCGAAAATCAACCTCTTTGCCACGGGTTCGGGGGAGACGGTGGTGGCGGCGGCGGTTATTGTGCTTCTCGCCGGAGGGGACAGCCTCAATCAAATCTGTAAAACAGTAAAAGGGTAAGAAACCTCCTCTTCCATTCCTTCCGCAGATCGATTCTGTAAAAGGGTAAGCAGCCTCCTTCCTTCTCCTCCCTTTCACCTTTCCCCCTCTCTCTCTGTAATATGCCTGCAATTGCTCTTCCCTTTCCGTGACTTTCTTCTCTCTTTTAATAACCAGTAGAAAAGGTGGGCTTATTTCACCCAAACAAAAAATAAATGAATATTAAATGACAACGTGGGAAACGGAGAAAAGGTGGGTAGTGGACAGTTTGTTAGTTCTGCAATCAGGCGGGGACTCCTATTTTTTCCCCGCTTAACACTCTGCCACATCAGCTTCCTAAAATCACTCTATGGGCAGGAAAATTTGAATGGGGGGTGCAGTTTTACTTTTCAGCTATAAATGATACTGTAGATGATATGGAGTGCTGACTGGATCAAACTAACAGAATTTTGGATGGAAAATGACGGAATGACATTTTATTATACGCTTAAACGTTTATTATCTAATCGTACAAAAACAAAGGTTTGTGACCATTTTGTATAAAGTGTAAAGGTTTGTGACAATTTATGATAATTACCAAAAATAAATTTTTGGCTAAATTCGGAATGTTTGGAGGTGGATTTGTAATACTGAATTAACCTCTCGCCCTATCAAGTATGGAATTGGGTACGGTGCTAACCGTTGGGAATAGGGTGATTACTAACTAAATTTTTTTGGAACGCGAATATCAATTTAGTTTTTTTTCCCCCAAGAAACTAAAACAGAAAGTCGCTGCTGTTACAGATACACCTAAATAGTACTTGGACCAGATAAATTAGTGAGTCAACTATGCCAAGTGGGGTTTCCTCTTATTAAGAATTTAAACTCTTAAAGCTCCCGAGAAAAGAAATACATGGAAGTAAACGGATTATAATATGTGATGCCTACCTAATTATCAAGAAAATAATTACTACCTTCAAAAAGAAGAAAAAAATACATGATTAGTGGTTCAAAATTTCTGTATCCGTATTATATCAAACCGTTTCATTTTTTCCGGTTCATTTAATAGCTTTCATACAAAGAATAATGGTATAAATAGTAGAAAGAATATAATAACCATTGTCTATCATAATCTACCACCATCTACCACTAGTCCACTATCCTGGAGGGTGATATATTTGGTTCCAATTGTTTTCCCAAAATTATATTGTGAATTGAAATAATTTTGTAGACTCGTTTATTAAATGCAAATAATTTAAAAAATCGCATTAAAACTAAGAAACTAAAGTGGTAAAGGGTGATCGGAAGATTGTTTATTAAAATATATTAAAAATCTGGGAAAAAAATTTAAAATTCATAGATGGAATTAATAAATGTATTGGCAGATTCATGGATTTATGGATCCAATGGCATTTAAACTTGGAACACAATGAAATTTTTTTAAATTTAGGTACTCAAATGTTATTAAAAATATTCCAGCACCAAAACATAATTTTGATATTTAATAAAATTTTAAAATTTTGGTACCCAAATATTATTAAAAAGTAGCTCAATCTCACCCATCATAGTTAACCTCATTAAAAATTAGGAGACTATATATAATTATGTATAAATACATAATCTTAGTCTACCCTAATTATAATTATTGGCATCTTAAATAGTTGGAATTGAGAGAGGTTAATCAATTCGGAGGAAAATGGTTTGCAATCTACCTGGAGATTAGGTTGTCCAGAGGGGTACCAGTTCTCATCAGTAATCTTCTCATCAATAACCATGCATAATTTGCTACATCATCATTTAATTTATCAAAAGTCTCTAACCTTTTTTCTATAAATTTTACCGGACTATATCTCTTTTGTTTTAAGTCATATTTTAATTTTCTTTTGCACATACAAATCAGATAAATTGTGCTCTTCAAATTAATATCCACTTTAATATATTTTTGGAACAAAAAATTGAGACATTTAGCACTAGTCTATATCATAATAATACGGCTTTGCTATTACATAAGATCATACACGTGGTATGGAGATGTACGATGATGGTATGAACATACCATAGTGTAGGATGGTTGAATATATGATAGTAGAAATATACGAAATGTCATTTACCTCATTCATCATTGTTTACCACAAGGTACCACCCCTATACTAGGGTGATACATTTTATTCATGTAGTTTTTTCCTAGAAATTTGCGGATATCCAAAAGATCACGAGGATTTCATTGTAAAATTTTCAAAATTCAAGTTAAAAACGAAGGTGGTACGAAGATGGTAACGAGTGGTGTGAATTTTTTCTCGAAATAAATTTAAAATAGATCTCATTTTCATTTTGTAGGTCATAACGAACTCGTTTCATCTGTGCACAAAAAATTGAAATTGAAATTACAACAAATAAGAAAAAAGCCGATTAAACAAATTAAGAAAAATAATTGTAACACCCTTACACCATTGACACGTCACTAGCAATAATTTCTTATACCGAATAAAAACATGTGGAGAGTTCAGTTCCGCCATCCACCTCACGACAACCGACTTGTTTTCTTCTATCACGATCCCTTTGAATCTGGGAAAAAAATATTGACGGGGGTGAGACGTCACTCAATGAGTAAACAATAACCTAATACAAACATCAATACCAAAATAGTAACGAGTGATGTTGTACCCCCGAAGTACTTCTCCTATCATCCATGACACATTCATATCACTTACCATACTGTAACAACCGACAATACATAGTCATTTTCAAGCATGGTCTCACAACACATGCCATATACCACATCACAGATAGATCACGACACAAGAGATTTCATTCGATAACACACACATCTATTCATTTCCTCATGCACTCCAATATCATATCAATGTAGTAAACACATAGAAAACCATTACATAACTATATCATCCACATGCACATTTTGTATATCAGATCATAGGAAGTCATTACATAATCTCATCATAGGAAATCCTTATACAAGGATTCAATCACATCACGGTTAGGTTGATTCAGTGGCTTTTACTTTATTAGCTTGTCAAATCATACACTCTTCCAAGATATAGGAATAGGGATTACCACTGGTTCTAATAAAACCTATCACCGCGGAACGTATCTCAGCCCGGTGCCATTATACCACTGCGGGACGTACCCAGCCCAGTCTCATCATATCACATACCACCGCGGAACGAATCACCGTCCGGTGTCATCCTACCATGTTCTCCCTTTTCCCATATCTTGTGTTGAGTGTATAACAAGGCAAACCTTATGTTTGGTTTAGGTGACCATGCAATAACATTTCCATGTATGCCATTAAGGCCAATCAATTTCCCTTTCATATACAGATAATATACTTTTTACCATCTTCTGACCTTTCTCATTCATGTGCCTTATAGGCCATTTCCATATTCTAATCATGCACTTTCATTCTAGGCAAGGTATCTTGCCTATCATTTCACCTCAAATGTTACTCCCTGTTTCATGTACCCGATATCTCATTTTATATCATATCGTCATAGCCCATATATCATACCGAAAACCATCATGCAATATATTATACAATACATGTCACATACCAACATGATCATTCAAGTAAGTATGCACACATACAAGTCATCATCCATTTTCATACAAACAACACTATGATATCACACGAATCAAACAATATTAACTTATCCTGTACTCGAGTCACTTCATGACCCGAATACTATATTCGTATTAATATAAGCATTAGGTTAAGATTTACTCACCCATATAGTCGTTACTTCGTTATACTCTTGCCTTTCGATGATTTCCCCATCTTACTCTTCACCGAGCGAGACTAGAAATTCCCCCGGTAGCCTTGCAAGGTTAACGTTCTCTCCCTTCGTTCACAGTGACACGAATAATTGAAAGGAGAAGCTTTTGGTGGCGAGAGATAGCCACCCCACTCCCGAAACCTTCTCCCTCTTCCTTTCTTTTTTTTTCCTATGCGATTTCATTTCCCACCTATATATAAACCAGAACTTGCCTTGCTATCTTTCCATCTCTCGAAAAAGGCAGAAGGCTTATCTCAACAATTATTTCCCCTTCCCTTTCTATCTTGTCCTACACGTGTATGTGTATGTTTGTGATTCTGGGTACTTTAAATAATTCATTTAGGCATTGAAAAACAAGGAAGATTGGTGACACATGTTCATCTCTTCCATTGCATGCACATTTCACCCAATTTTGGATCCACGTGCCCTCTCTTCTTCCCATGGTATCCAAGTGACGAAAATGACATGGGAAATGAGATGTCTTTCCCAGCTCATTCAATTCCATGGCTACGTGTTTAATCGTGCTCTAACTTGGAAATGGCGTCAAAACACATCATCATGAATTGAGCAGACTCACTCAAGCATTCTAGAACATTGCATCATTTTTAATGTAAACCTTTTTAAAAATAGAAGGGATGTTACAATAAAGGCCACTAATTTCCACCCTTTAGATCTCATTTTAATATCAATTCACCATTATCAAAAACACTTTATACAAGTAAGGGTCTCAGGAGAAGTTACATTTACATTTTTGGTTACTGCTATTTACAGTCCTAACAAGGTTGCTGAAAGGAAAAGGTTATATGAAGAGTTGTACTTAGGAATGGTAGTGGGGGAACCCTGTCTTTACTTGGGGGACTCCAATGCTATTGCTAAGGTTCATGAGGCATCTAATACAAATGTTGTTACTCAAAGTACATTGGATTTCAGAAGTTGGATATCTAGAATGGGGCTTTTTGACCACAAGGTGTTGGGCTCTTGGTACACTTGGTGGAATAAGCAGCAGAGGAACCCAATTGCTAAAAGGTTGGAAATATTTCTTGTAAATGGGGGAATGGTTAACAAAGTTCTCACACAGTGCTGCTAAAACTTTGGCTCCAGGTGTGTCAGACCACTGTGGGCTTATAATGGAAACTGTACCAAAGGTATCAACTCTCCCAAAGCCTTTCAAGTTTTTTAAATTTTGGAGATCTCATCCCACATATGCTAACTTGCTAAATGAAGTGTGGCAAATGGGGGGTGAAGGGTCTTCACATCAAATTCTGTATGGTAGGCTAAGAGAGTTGAGGTTGAAAAAGTTGAACATAACAAGTTATTCAGAGTTATCTGAGAGAACTAGAGAAGCAGAAATGAAGTTGGAAGAAGCTCAGAAATTGGTTTTAGCATCTCCTAGTGCTGAAACTATTGAGAATGAATTAAAACTTGTTGCTGCTTGCCAGCAGTTGCATGTAGCAGAAGAGAGCTTTTATCGTCAAAAGTCTAGGGTGAAATATGTGACACAAGGTGATATGAATACCAAATTTTTCCACGCATCCGTAAAGGCTCATACTCACAGGAAGGATATTGAAAAGTTGGTTGATGATAGTGGAAAGGTTTTGACTGAGGTGAAGGAGATGAGTAATTTGGCAGTCTCTTTTTATAAGGGATTGCTTGGTCATTTTGATCCTGCTGTGCAGAGGTTCCCTTGCTCTTTCTTTCTGGAGCTGGTGAAAATGAAGCTCACTGATGAGGATCATGAGGTTTTAAAAACCCAGATTACTAGAGAGGAAACCAAGAAGGTCTTCAAATCTATGGGAAAGGATAAAGCCCCTGGCCCAGATGGCTAAATAACTAAATTTTTCACTGCTGATTGGGATATTGTGGGTACAGATGTGGAAAACACAGTTTTGGAATTCTTCTGAACGGGGAGTATGCCACGACAGGTAAACTCCACCATTCTTGCTAGGGGTGGAAATCAGTACGGTATCGGTATCCCAATACCAAATACCAAAATGCCGAATACCGAATTACCCCCTAAAGTCAATCCCAATCCCAATCCCTAAATAATTTCGGTATCCCAATCCCTAAATATTTCGGTATCCCAATCGGTATTATCGAATACAAAATTAATTACCTTGTAATTAATAATTAAATATATAAATTCAATTTTTTTGTTTAATTTAGGGCAAAGAGACTAAACAAAGAGTCTTCAGTTTGCCTAGAGCTAGGATATGGATAGATAGAAGGGAGGAGAGGTAAAAATTCAAGTTCTTATCATTGATAATCTTTAATTCGATGAATTGGAGGCTGAGAGACGACTAATACTAGCGTTTTCTTTTTGATGTTGTGAAAATAATAAGAAATTACATGAGAGACGAGAGTGACTTAAACTGGAAAGAAAAAATTGAGTTGGATGCGGACTTGTGAGTTATGTAAGAGTGGGGAATGACCAAAAGTTGTGTGATATATTTTATTAATTTTTAATTTCTTTTGTTTCTCGGTATTTTGGTATATTTCGGTATATACCGATCCCAATCCCGTATCCCGAATACAAAATAGCACTCCAAAATGAATCCCAATCCCGATCCCTAAAAAAATAAACAGGTATTCGGTAATACCAAATAGTGATAAGTTTTTTTGATAAGGGCGAAATAGTATTAGGAAGAACAAAACAAGCAAAGTCCAAAAAACAAACAAACGGGGAAGAAACACAGGACAGCCAAAGCGAAAAAAGAAACAGAGGAGACCACCAGAAAAGGACAGCTCTGGGGCTCCAAACAGGGGGAAAACAGACAGGACGGAGGAAAAGCCAGACAACAGCAGAGGAAAAAATCATCAGCCAGGACAGCCAGAACGAAGCCGCAGCGCCCACCGAACGAGACAGGACGCAAACTAACTCTCAGTGGGGGCCGGCCTGGGGAGAAGCCGGGTCTTGAGAATGAGCATCCACGCCTCAGCAGTGCTTCTGTCGACCTTATTCCCAGCGCATAACCAGTCGGCAATGAGGCGAGCAGTCTTGAAGGAGACCATACGGGAGGAGGCGTGTTCGTCACGGAAAATACGGGAGTTGCGCTCCAGCCAAATACGCCAGAAGAAAGCATGGATAAACACTCTGCTGCACCAAGCCTTAGGGCTTTGAGAAGAACCCAAGGGCCATCCGTTGATAGTGGAAGTGGTATCCTGTGAAGGAGATCTGAGATCGATGAAGGCGCTCAACATCCGCCAGACCTCCCGACTAAAAGAGCAAGTGATGAAGAGGTGATCCAAGGTTTCTTCAGAGCATTCGCACAGGGAACACCGACTGGGGAAAGACCAGCCTCTCCTTCTCAGGACGTCGTGGGTGAGAATCCTTCGATAGAACACGGTCCACAGGAAAGCACACACCTTGGGAGGGATGACGGATTGCCAAACGAACCTGAAAGGGAAGTCCGGGTCGGCCGCGCTGTTCTCCTTAACCAACTCAGCATAAGCAGATTGGGTTGAGAAGCCATCATCAGGTGCAGCATTCCAAACAATTCTAGGCGGACCTGCAGTAAAACTAGAGATATTAAGAGAATTAAGCCAACTCAGCATAAGCAGATTGGGTTGAGAAGCCATCATCAGGTGCAGCATACCAAATAGTGATAAGTTCGGTACGGTATTTGGTATATCCCAAATACCGGTATCAAACTTCCAGCCCTAATTCTTGCTCTTATTCCAAAGATTCCTAATGTTGAACAAATGAAGGATTTAGACCTATATCCTGTTGCAATGTGGTCTATAAGGGTATATCTAAATTATTATCCAATAGATTCTCTAGTGTGCTTCATAAGGTAACATGAACTTCCCAATCTGCTTTTGTTAAGGGCCGATCCATAAGTGATAACATCCTCTTAGCCACTGAACTAGTAAAACACTATCACAAGAAGGGCTTAGGCAAGGAGATCCCCTCTCCCCATTCCTTTTGACCATAGCTATGGAAATCTTCTCTAGACTACTTGGCAGTGCTGTTATTGAAAATCAAATCCCTTATAATCCAAGATGCAAAGCACTAGAGATTACCCATCTATGATTTGCAGATGATCTGCTTGTTTTTACCAATGGTTCTATGAGGGGTGTTGCTGGTATCAGACGGTTGCTTGACCAGTTTTACAATGTTTCTGGGCTTCAATGTAACATGGCTAAATGCAGTTTCTACTGTGTGGGGATATTTTAGGATGAGAAGGATTTTATTTCAAGTACAACCGGTTTTCCTCTGGAAAATCTTCCTGTCAGGTGTCCAGGGGTCGCTTATTAACAGGGAAGCTGAGCTCTCATGACTGTCAGGTGTTAGTAGATAAGACAACAGCAAAGGTGAGAGCTTGGCACTCTAGGTTTCTTAGTTATGCAGGTCGTCTGCAGATAATTTCCTCAGTAATAACAAGTGTTTTCCAATACTGGATGGCAATTCTCCTGTTGTCAATGAAGGTATTATGGCACGCTTCGGGTCGTGTTGGGAACTTCGGTTACGGGTCGGGTCATGTTTGGTTGGCTTATTTCGGGTCAAATATTCACCCAACCCATTCGGTTTCGGGTCGGGCTACAAGTCATTTCGGGTTATGAGCGTTCTCAGAAACAATATCAAACATGTTTCATATTTACTTAAAGAACACAAATTTTCACATATGCATGACAATAGTTTACCTAACACAAGTCAATTAATATATTCTCAAATCCTCCCACGCTAATGAAATGAAATATAAATTGCGCCAATCGTCAAAAAATAATCACAAGAGTAATACTATTACAACAAACACATGATATTTGATTATCCTTAAACTACAAACATGTCATTCAAATCCTTGTGATTTTTTTCAAACATCTCACCAATTTATGTGTGATTTTATCATATTTTGGGAGTAACATATTAAATGGAACGGGTCTAATGGGTCGACCTGCTAACCCACCCAACCCGACCCAAAAAATCACGAGTTATCGGTTTTGGGTCATTCGGATTTCGGATTACAAATTTTTTTAGTTTTCGAGCGGTTTCGGTCGGGTCAACGAATCGGATTGTAATTTGCCAGGTCTATCTCCCATGCTTAATGCCATTTTTGATTAACCATCAATTTTTTTTCCCTAACCCCACTCATATTTAAGGCTAAAATCTAGTTGTATAATTGTGCATAATACACCCTATCCTATACCGAGCACCTGGCTATTCAGCATCCAAATTTTATATCATTACAATTTACAAGAAAAAGTATAAAAAAAATTGGTAGAAAGAAAAAAGTATATTTTTGTGTCGACACTAAATAAACACAAACTACATCGATTAATTAGGATACATTTATCCTCTACTTTTCATGTCGTTTTTCAGGAACTTTAGTAAAGGTCAAGCCAATTAACCAGAATACCTTAAAATGTTGGTCGTCCATCCACCACCTAATAAAAAACCCGGAAAGAAAATAAACAAAAAGAAGTTCATATGATCAAATTGAAGGTCAAAGGATCGCCCAATCATTCTGTTTTCCTCCACCTTCATCCACCACCTTGCTTGACCATCAATCTTTTCCCAAAAATATAGAACAAACATATGATTTTCTTTGCCTGAACGATCGACGTCGACACTCCAGCTGCCTATCGATGTATTTGAAACTACTCCTAACTAATTATTCCTAACTAAAATTAGTAATCCATACAAAACCTAAGCGATTAGTCAATCAATTGTGCAGTCTTCATTATCGACCACGAGACGTGCTATACTTCCTATAACGAAATCCATGCCCTATATATATATAAACCATCGCCATTCCATCCTTTTCTGCCACCAACAACAAGCTCTTTCTTCTCTATCCTTCTCTTCCCTCCAATATCTAATCCTAATTTTCCGGAAATGGGAAGTCGTCGGAGTTTTCTCCAGTCGTGTTCTTGTCCACTTTCTCTGTTCGTCGTAGTTGTTGCACTGGCAGCTCCATCCGCCGACGGGTCTAGGGCGGCGCGGGTGCCTTGCTACTTCATATTTGGGGATTCTCTTTACGACAGTGGCAACAACAACAACCTCAACACGTCGGTGAAAGTCAACTACTCTCCCTACGGCATCGATTTCCCGGCCGGACCCACCGGCAGGTTCTCCAACGGTCGAACCGCGGCCGATATAATTGGTGCGCTTGATTTATAATTATTAAGTTACTTTAAACCACGTACGTCATTTTTCATCCACGACCGTGGATTATATTAACTAATGATTCGTTTTTTTGGGTATTCAGGTGAAACGCTGGGATTTAAGGACTTTATCCCACCTTTTGCATCCAACCCTGACGACAGACAGATACTCGTAGGGGTCAACTACGCATCTGGGTCCGCTGGGATTCTAGTCCAGAGTGGAAAACAAGGGGTAATTATCTTTAGTTAATTTCTTCTTCTTTTATTTTTTTAGTTACTCTTAATTAAGCAAATAATTGTGCGAGCTATAGCATCCCAAAAACTTAACGTGGCTCCGATTAGGGGTGGCTATACGATCCGGTCCGGTTAAATTGGACCAAATTGATCCGGTCCCAGTTCGGTTTTTTCGGGAATATAGGGACCAAAGATTGGATTGGATACAGTCCGGTCTTGATTCGGTCCGGTCTTGACCCGGTCCGGTCCCAATTTGATCTTGATTTTAGGTGTTGGTGGTCTCTTATCCGGTCTTTATCCGGGTTTTTACCTCAAATCTAAGTCCGAATATGAGATTGGATTGTTTGCTATCCGGTCCTAGTCCGGTCCCGGTCCGGGTTATACTGTCCGGTTTCGGGTAAAACCAAACAGTCCGGGACCAAATAGCCAGCCCTAGCTCCGACATTGGTCATAGTGGATTATTAATATTTTTATCATTATAAAATGGTAAAAAAATGCAAGCTACCCAGTTACAGATTTGCCCTAAAATAACCTAATTGCAAATTGAATTGGAATGATGAGCAGGACACGTCCATTGATGAACTGTACAGTTCTATGTTATTTATTGATATTTTCTACATAGTTTGTTTTCAGAAGACGACGATTGTATATAATTTTGATGAATTTTGTATATAAGTTTCAGTGCACCTTTGAAAATGAATTTTGTAGGGTGACAACGTAGACCTGAGCAAGCAACTGAGGAACCACAAAGTGACTGTTTCGCGTATAGTTAAGAAATTGGGGAGCAAGAAGGCCGCCTTTGAGCACCTAGGGCAATGCTTGTACATCTGCAATATGGGGAACAACGATTATATCAACAACTACATTCTGCCCCAATCTACCGCCATCAGGAGTCAGTACAACCCGGCTCAATTCGCCGCACTTCTCGTCGCTCGATACTCTGCTCAGATTAAGGTAAGTCTACTCTGAATCACTTCTTTGATCTATACATGTATTCAGCTTAACGTGCATACACTAAATTTACCGTAAGCGTAAAAAAAAAAATGATATCTAAATCATAAATATATAAGAGTTTGAGACATGATACTCTACCCTAACTATGAAAGTATAAATAACCGACCCTAGCTAATTCTTCTAAACCTCAACTTATTTAGCGGATGTACGAGTTGGGAGCAAGGAAGGTGGCGCTTGCGGGCATTTCGAACATCGGCTGCACTCCAAGTTTGATAGCAACCGTTGGGACTAACGGTGCTCCCTGTGTTACCTCAGTGAACCAACTAGTGGCTCCTTTCAACATCGGACTAAAATCACTCATCAGCCAGCTCAAGTCGGCTCATCCTGACGCCAAATTTGGCTACCTGGACACCATACGGGCCGGAATTCTTGCTAGCCAAGGTAATAGATTGATACGCTCATAAGTCGTTCGGTAATTCAATTTCTGTCTCTCAATAATGCGTTGAAATGTTTCTTCTTTCTTTCTTTCTGTTTTCGCAGAGTTTAAGGTAAGAACGACGCCGTGTTGTCAAGTGAGTACAGTGACGGGGCTATGCCTTCCTAATACGGTTCCCTGCTCTCAGAGGCAATCCTACTTGTTCTGGGACGCCTTCCATCCTACTGAACTCGCGAACCGGCTCGGCGCGCCCATTCTACTTCCGGTCATCCAGCGGATATTGTAAACTTGTTACTGTGCCCATCATTTGCCTCAGCGCGCAGTTAACCTTTGGAGTGATTTTTCTGACTGTTGGGGAATAAGTTACCTGTAAGCAAATGTGCGCTTAAATTAGCAATAATTAAGTGGATTGTTGTGTCCAAATCCACGTTGCATTGTATTTTCTTTCCCACTTCTGTTTCTTTTGTTTTGTTTTACCTTGTAGCACGAGAAAATGTTGTACCATGTGTTGAAAGAATTAATCAAAATGCCTATAGATTGTGAGCGCTCTGCAGAAAATTTGCCATAATGGTTTGTGTACCCAGAAAATTTACTGATAATCTGCACAATCATTACGACTGCCACATCCTCAATCGCTCAATAAAGGTTCTAGGTTAGGGTTATGTATTTGTCCAAAATAAGATCTAACCATTCAGTTTTCAACGAGGCCAGATCGAGAAATGAAAATTCATTTTATTTTTTACTATATTTTAATCTGTCTTGTATATGTTTGTTTAAACTCAAATTTTGAATATTTTGACAAACTGGGTATTTTTATACATACATTTTTTATATATATATATATTTCGAGAAATTTTTCCGCACTACCCATCACTATTTGGTACCTCTCCATGCCATCTTCATTTTTCACTATAGTTTTTTGAAAATTTTTATATAGAAGGAAGAAACTTATCGTAATTTATAGAATTTGATATATTTATGAAAAATATTCATGAACAAATATGCAACTATATTAAAGGGTGGTCTATAGAATTGGATATATTTATAAAAAACATTCATGAACAAATATGCAACCCTATTTTATAGGGTGGTCGATGGTGGTAAGCATATATATTCCTACTATCATGTATACCTTGGAACATAATGAAAATTTTGAAAGTTTAGGTACTAAAATATTGTTCAAAATCCAAGTACCAAAACATAATTTTTCATACCGTACCGTTCAAATTTTAAAATTTAAGTACTAAACTGTAAAATATAAAAATACAGGTATTGAACACAATTTTTCAACAATCCATGAATTCATCAATTCAATTGGATTCGAATTAAATGGTCTGGATTAGTTCGAAACTTTTAGTGCATATATGGATTGGATTGAAATTGTCACGTCTAATCTTATGTACTACCAAACATTACCATCATGGTGTACAGTGATGTTACGTTACTCGATCATTTTGTTCTAAAGTATATCAAAGTGAATATCATTTTGAATAGCACGATTCGTCTGATTTCTATACAAAAAAAATTAATTTTGAATTAAAATGAAAGATATATAACCGAGCATGAGTCCAATTAGGGCTGGCTATTTGGTCCCGGACTGTTTGGTTTTACCCGAAACCGGACAGTATAACCCTAATCGGGACCGGACTGGGACCGGATAGCAAACAATCCAATCTCATATTCGGGCTTTGATTTGAGGTAAAAAAAACACGGATAAAGATCGGATAAGAGACCCCAACACCTAAAATCAAGATCAAATTGGGACCGGACCAGGTCAAGACCGGACCGAATCAAGACCGGACTGTATCCAATCCAATCTTTGGTCCTTATATTCTCGAAAAGACCGGACTGTGACCGGATCAATTTGGTCCAATTTAACCGGACCGGACCGTATAGCCACCCCTAAGTCCAATGATTTAACATTACAAAAAATTGAGTAAAGTCAACTTCACTTAACTCATGTTATTGGCTTTTATAGTTGGAGTCCCCCCAATGTTTATCACCATATGAAGTTGCAAAGAGTACTAGAGTTTGCGGGTGAAATACATCCACTAGCCGTTGACATCACTACATGCAAATGTGTATTGTGAGAAACATTTTCTGGGGACCCTTAGCTTTTCCATGTATATAAATCACACCCTGCATCCTAATTAGGATCACAAAACACACTGCTACTAATCCAGCGATCTGAATAGGATAACAGCTGCCAAAGCCCTCTCCTATACTTGCAAACGAGAAGGATGAATTTCAACAAAGCTGTGTTTGTCGTTCTTGCTCTTGTTTTTCCGCTTGTGTTGGCTGCGGTGCCGCGATCATCAATGGCGGCAGTCCCGTTACCTCGCTCTCATTCTGCCGATCATCGTCAGTCAATTTAGTTTATTTGCAATTCTCCTTATTTGTGACAAATTTCCTAATAAAAATATGAACAAAGTACTAAAAATGTGATTGACAAAAGCCGGTTATTGAATTTGCAGTGCTGGGCGTGGAAGGCAACGCAACAATATTTCAGTCAAGGCAAGCGTCTCCTTGCCGTGAGAGAACAAATAGGTGCGGTGGCAGAGATTGTTGTGTTTGTTTCAGTGGTGGTGTACTCAGATGCAAAACTTGTTGTAGCTAGCTCCTGATCAACAAGACAACAACGCCAAAACCAATATACAAGTACACTAAAGGTATATGTCTACGTATGTTTGCGTCTGCAGTATAATATACTCGTACATACCTGACCAGCATATGTATCATATATAGCTTTTAAAGAAAAACTTTAAAAAAAAAATCGGTTGTATTTGATTAATAAACTATTAAAAGGTATTTAAATTACTTTTTACATTAGAGGTCAGATAAAATGTCTAGAAATAATTTATAATGTAAAATATTATTAAATAGTCAAATGATTCTAGTAAATTTTTATATTTAAATATTATTTTATAGTTTGTTTTAGGCTTTAAATGATATAAATGAAAGGAATAAATCTCATGTAAAAATTATTTGTAGGGATAAACTTGAATTTTCAAAAAAAAAAAAAATTCAAAAAGCTCTACATTGGAGTTTTTAATTTACAAAAATAATTTGCAACTTTTCCAAAATCCGAACTAATAAATGTATTTGGCCTTATTTAACTTCTGAAGTCTGAAGGACAAAAGTACTTCTAAAACTAGGATCAAATTTGGCTATTATTAGTAGATCATTTGCCCTAAGAGCAGAGTTCTGACGTCATGTTTTCCCCTTTCCCTGCACGCAGATGCAAGAGACCCCCAAGTAAACCAGAAAATGATGTAACAAGAGTATCCAATTCGAATAATCAAGAGAAAATAGTGAAAAGAAATACAAGCAATAATGTTTCCCATTTACTAATTCTATATACTTTGAATACTTAATTTTCCTTTCGAATAATGGGTTGTTCCCTCGTTCAATGTACTCGTATTTCAATATAAAAGATGCTATCAATATACAAAACACAAATATTTGAGTTTAAATTTTCAAGGGTCCCCGCTTAATCTGGCGGATCGACCTCTAGTGCACTTTTAGAGTCGGTGAGCTTCTCTTGTTGTTCTCTCAAAACCCTTCTCTGCCTTCCTTTGTTCCCAGACCCAATTGCATTTTCTTTGTCTCGCCCTTACTCGAGGGTTGTTTCTTTGCTCTTTGAGCCCCTGCTTCTTGTATCTGACCTTTTCTTTCTTACTTTGTTTCTCTAATAATATAGATGAACTATATAAAAAAAATACCTAAGGGTACTCCTTTCGACAGTTCATGCTCTTGAACCAGGACCAGGGGCCGATTTCCAAGTATGTTGGTCTGCTGCTAAGTCTTGGTGTTCCCGTATTTGTTGCTATCAGTTGTGTCATCCCTTTCATGTCATCAATGTTCTTTTTGCTTGTTTTTTATTTGTCATTGAATGCCTCCCCATTCATCTCTGTTCTTGTTAATGGAGAGGCAGCGGGTTTTTTATTAAGATTGGTAAAGGATTACGTCAGGGAGATCCGATGTCTCCTTTTCTGTTTAACTTGGTTATGGATATCCTGTCTATGATGCTTGAGAAGCTTAGAGAAGTTGGTATGATCTCCGGTTTCTGTATGGATGAGGATAATTCTAGAGGGGAAGTCACTCACCTCCTCTGTGCGGACGATACTATTGTATTCTGCAAGGCCTCAGAGGAACAAGACATGAACCTACTTGCAACTTTGGTTTGCTTTCAAATTGTGACAAGGCTAAAGGTAAATGTGAAAAAAGTCAGATGTGCCCGGTAGGCAACGTTGTGAACCCAGAAATCTTTGCGAGTCTGTTTGGATGCGGATGGAAGCATTTATAGGGGTGGACAATGGGACGGGATTGGGTACCCGTCCCGTTTGAAACGGATACCCATTCCATTTTGGAGAGAAAACTCCATCCCATATCCCAAACTTGTATGGGTTAACGAGTACCCATTACCCGTACGGGACTGATAACGGGTACCCACGGATAACCCATTTGAAATCCCATCTTTTTTCTATATTCTTCCAAGCGTGGCTTCACTTCTTCCCTGACCATGTGGAGGATGATGTTATGAGGGATCAAATGCCGCCACCTAAATTTATGAAGCCAGTAACTCAACAAGATCGTAGGATTTCACCGGCTTCGGTGGCAGAGAACAACAATTCAGTTGGCAGGAATGGAACAATGGAAAATAAATTGATAGACCTTAATTCAAGCCCTCGACGGATTAATGGGAAAGATCCCACTAACCAGGTGCTTGCATTCTTTTATTATTCTTCTAATAATGTTAGGGTTTGTGCTGCATGATTAATATCACCGCCAGTAGTTATTAACTAAATTATGTTGGATCTCTACTACAGACATTTTAGCCTAACTAAAAATGTTTCGAAATAGTAGCAGTAGCAGGTGACATTTTAACCCACCACATTGTTTGCATATGTTTTTCGGGCTTTCTGCATTCAAATGGTTCTTACATTTTCCAAATTACTTATTTTCTTTCTTTTGCTATTTGGACATCCGAAAATGGAACTACCTCTCGATACCAGTTCATCCTTGGACGGGTAGTACAGGTACCCGTAATAGCCAAACGGGTATTAACGGGTAACCTGCGGGTACCCATTGTAGGATTTCTTAATCCCATTGCATTTACCAGCTATTTACCTCAGTCTTCCACTTGGGGCTAGTCCCAATGCAGTTTCGATTTGGCATCCGATCATTACAAAGTTTCAATCAAGGTTGGAGGGTCGGCGTGGCAGGTTCCTTTCCCTTATAATTCACGAGCTCCATTATTAAGGCTCCAAAAACCGTCAATAACAAGATTGAGCACCATATTCGACGGTTTATTTGGTCGAGAGTTAGTGAGAAGGATAAGTATCACCTTGTGAATT